AATTCTTGCCCAAAAAAAAAACCTACCTCATAAGACGTGTGAGTTTTTTGTTGTTTTTTCAGACTGGTGAAGGTATCAGTGTGAGGTTCATCATGCAGTTAGAGCTGTCCTGAGCACTTCCGTGATTGGACTAATGTAGACTGTTGCCTACTCCCTTTGTGCCTGCCATTACTCTTGCCCAAAACATGGCTTCTCCATGTTCCCTTGTCCTTTCTGCATGCTAACATACCCCCTTTCTAGGTGGAGTTGTCCATGGAAGACATTGAGACCATCCTGAACACACTCATCTATGATGGGAAAGTGGAGATGACCGTCATTGCTGCAAAGGAAGGCACTGTTGGCAGTGTAGATGGACACATGAAACTGTACAGGGCAGTCAACCCAATCCTCCCACCTACAGGCTTAGTCCGGGCACCCTGTGGACTCTGCCCTGTAAGTAACAGCTGCTTCACTCTCTACTTTTATCACCACCATATGCAAATGCCACATAAAGAAACAACAGGCATACCAGCTTTCCCACCAGCAAGTGTCCCGTGAGCCATTCAAACTGCCACAGACTCTTGATGGACACATTGTTAATGGACAGGTCTTACATTATTTTTTGAAACATTGAGGGTAGGGACATGCCCTTCTGTTCTTGACCCTGAAATGAATACATTTTCTTTGGGACTAACCATTTCTCCTTTGAAGGGAGGGAAATGAAGGTTGTTGAGAAGCTACCATGAGCGAAACTTATTCTAATCCTCCTGTGTCCTTGGAGCTAGTGGCATTATTTCCCCTAAAGAGTGAGGGAACTTAGGGCTAAGTATAGCTCAGTGGCAGGGCCTATGCGCAGTGTACATAGGGCCTCTCACCAGGTTTCCCCTAGTGCCCTCCCCTCGGAGAAAGAAGAAACTCAGACTTAAGCAGAAAATGTTACTTCAAATAATGTGCCTTAGCTGTCATTCCTAGGTGGTTTGCCAACACTGGGATGGACATTCTGAGGCCAGAGAGAGCAAAAACTCTCCCTGTTTCCGGGGCATTTATATTCTTGGGCTGCTACTCTGCCATATTCATTATGATAACCCTTGACCTTACCCATAAGCTCATTGTGACCCAGTTTCAACTCCTAGACAAAAGCCAACATCCTGGAAATTCTACTTAGCACCCTTCAAAGATAGTTAAACATGAAATAACCTTCAATTTAGTAGAAATTAAGTTGTCCATAAGTATAGGACTCATTTTCTTTTACCCAGTGGGCAGGTGAGTGAGGTCACCTGTATACTGTGTTAATAGGGCCTCCAGGCCAGACAGGATAGTGCACACCTTTAATCCCAGCAGTTGGGAGGCAGAGGTAGGCAGAGCTCTGAGTTTCAGGCCTGCCTGTTCTACATAGTGAGTTGCAGGACAGCTGGATTACATAGTGAGACCCTGTCTCAGACAAACAAACAAATAAGCGAAGCAAACTAAAAATGAAAGGCTCATAGTTAACAGTGATCACAAAGCAGGCACTTTACAGTGTGCTCTTATAGTCCCAATACCTTTCAAAGAGTGTTTTTTCCCCTTTTTCTTCTGTTAATACTGCTTTAAATCAATGGGGCTTTGGTATTTTAAAACTTCAATTTGAATATGAACTTTTTATGTGTTTCTTTTAAAGGTTTTTGATGACTGCCATGAAGGTGGTGAGATTTCACCATCTAATTGTATTTATATGACAGAGTGGCTCGAATTTTAATAGAGAGCTGTGAATCTTACTTACATTTGGCAAATGAATTACTTGGAGAGCAAATAATTCATGATGGAACATCCAATTTCTTTGAAAGCATGCGTCACAATGATGGATACTGACTTGCTGCTATGAAAATGTATTTATTTATGAAGACAGAACACAAAGCAAATGAAATTTAATAAAGTTTAATAGAGAAGTTTCTTCTGCAGTAAGAATACCTTGAAGCTCTGGAAGACCAAGGAAAAAGGAGCCACCAAACCTACATTGACCAAGTACTGTGATAACAGCTAGAGCGTGAAGATACACGCTTAAAGTTCTTAAGGTCTTCATTGAAACTCATCATATCAGGTTTATTACCACCGTTTCTGTTTGTTTTTCCTGGGTTTCACTGAGAAATTACAAGTGGTGCAGCAGGGAGTTGCTGATGGGAGTGTGTGCAGACTTGGGGCCTGAAGGTTTTAGAGGGGACATCCCTTTCCACACTGTTGGGTTCTCCTCATCTCGGTGCCCTTTCACCCCCATATGCTATTGTCTGGGACATGTCTTCAGCTCAGTGATACTCCATCCTAAAGGGGATAATCTCACAAGTCCTTCATTGTTAAGGCTGTAAATTTCTCTGGCTTAATTTTTGTTGTAGTAGGGAGGTGCAGGCTGCATCCTGCGGCCTGGCTAGCTTAAGTCCCCTCTTCCCCTGAAATAACCACACGGAAATTGTATTAATTAAATTACTGCCTGGCCCATTAGCTCTAGCCTCTTATTGGCTAACTCTCACATCTTGATTAACCCATTTCTATTAAATCTATGTATCACCACGTGACTGTGGCTTAGAGATTCAACATGTCTGACCTGGCAGCTGGCTCCATGGTGGCTCTCTGACTCTGCCTTCTTCCTCCCAGCATTCAGTTCTCTTTTCCCCACCTACCTAAGTTTCTGCCCTATCAAAAAGCCAAGGCAGTCTCTTTATTTAACCAATGAAAGCAACAGAAATATAGGACTTACTACACCAAATTTTACTACTTGCTGAAAAATTTTTTTCAGATTCTTACTTTATGTCTATAGTATGATCCTCTCTGCCACCAGCATCAAATTCTAATTTTGTAATCTAATCCCTATGTGGAATGTGATAAGTAGGACCTTTGGAAGGTGAGAGATGGTGAATGTAGAGTCCTCATGAGTGGAATCAGGGCCTGTACAGAAGAGACCCAAGGTGTTCTGTTGGCCTCTGTTAGGCGAGAATACAGGGAGAAGAATAAGGAAGTGGGCGCTTGTTAGATCGTATATCTGCCAGCACACGGGACTCCCCTGCTTTTTGAATCATGATAATTAAATACATTTTCTTGATAAACCATCAATCTATAGCAGCAGTTCTCAGGTTGAACAACCCTTTCAAGGGGTCATCTGAGACCTTCAGAAAACACAGATATTTACATTACAATTCATAACAGTAGCAAAATTACAGTTATGCAGTAGCAACAAAAATAACTTTATGGTTGTAGGTCACTATAACATGAGTAGCTGCATTAAAGGATTGCAGCATTAGGAAAGTTGAGACCCACTATCTGTGGTGTTCTATCAAAGCAGACAGAAGAGATAGTATCTAATCATTTAACTAAATTATAACTAAAACTAGCTGGGTATGGTGGTGCACTCCTTTCATACTAGCACTTGGGAGGCAGAGGTAGGCAGGTCTCGGTTAGTTCAAGACTAGCCTGGACCACATAGTGAATTTCAGGACAGCTAGGGCTATAAAGAGACCCGGTCTCAAAAATAAATACAGACCATTGCCTTTCAATGTTAGGGGTAGGAACCCATCTTACAGTGTTTTAGACTGGTCTCCTTTTTTCCTTAATTGTTTTCTAAAAACCATGGTGTGGTGTGTCTAAGCAGAAACCATCACTATGTAGTTTGTTAGCCCCAGCCGTTGGGTACTGGAAGACACTAAGTTAGTTGCCATGCTGTTATGTAGAAGATAGCCATATATTTTTAAGGATCTCAGCAGTTGATTTTTACTTTGTGTCTTTTTTTTGAGACAAGGTTTTTCTGTGTGGCTCTGACTGCCCTGGAACTTTGCAAATCAGGCTAGCTTTGAACTCAGATCCACCTGTCTCTGCCTCCTCCACTATGCCCAGCTTACTTTGTGTCTTAAAAGTTTCTTAATGCAAGCCAAAAGCATGGGCCAACTGAAAGGGTTCACAGCCCACTCTTCTTTGAGGCTGAGCTCTACCACCATCTGGCAGTATTCTAAGTGTTTACTGGAGTTACCTTGAGATAAATGGGACCAATAAAATCCAACTTGCTAGATCATTCTATCGATGAATTCTATGTCCAGCTCTATAGAAAAAGCATTTAATGACACCAGCTCTTAAGTGTTAGATTATATATTAAATGCAGGTTCCTCTTCTACCTCTAGTGGGGCTGACGTGGTAAAAAAGTGTTCACTCTTCCTGGATCTGCCTGGCTTATCCAATAAGCACTAGTCTTATTTTCCTAGAAAACTAGATATGTAGGAGAGTTACAAAAGGGAGAAAGAATTTTTAAAAAAATTTTAATATGCTCTCTATTTTGTCTTTTTTGTTTTGTTGGAGAAGAATCTCACTCTAGCCCACACTACCCTGGAGTTCACGTTATGGTCTAGGCTGGCCTTGAACTCATGGTGGTCCTGATTTAGCCTCCAAGTGCTGGAATTACAGGCATTTAGCAGTCACACATGGCTTTGTATTGTCTTGGTGATTAGATACTGTTTTAAATTTGCAGTCAGTGGCTAGAAGTGTTCCTTGCCTCACCAGAATAAAGAGATACTTTAAAAGTTTTTCCTCATAGCATATTTTTACTGAGTATTTTTTGCTTGTAGCATATTTACTCGAGTATTAACTGAGAGAGATAGATAAATTTAAAAAAACATAGCAACTGTGCTATAAATAAAATGAATTTGCCTACAGAAATAAGCTAGAATCAGAAGAAATTGTGGGCATCTAAAATCATGATGCCACAAAGTCAAACTGCAGATGAAGTCCAAATACTTCAGTCTTTCCCACTTGGTATTAGGTGTTTTCTTCACCTGAGAACACATATTCTAAGTCTGTTCAGGATTCTGTTTTAAAGTGATCCTTAAAACTTAAACATTGCCAGTCATGGTGTGCTTGCTTTTAATGCCAGCACTTGGGGGGTAGAGGCATAAGCAAGTGGATCTCTGTTTGAAGCCAGCCTGATCCTACAGAGCGAGTTCCAGGACAGCCAGCAATACACAGAGAAACACCGTCTGGAAAAACAAAACAAAATTTGACATCATAAGTCTATTTAATGGTTTTTAATGAATAGTTATGTGGTTTCTCATACAGAATTTCCAGTTTTACAATAAATGTTTTATATAAGAGTTTTGATGGTGATCAATTAAGCAGAGTAATCAACAATTCAATTTGTGATGGGGCACACGCCTGGTATGTGGAGGCCTCTGGCCCAACCGTAAGCTCAACAGTGAAGGGAAGAAACGTGGTTTCAGATTTACTATATGGCAGGGGAAGGACGAATACAAAATGTGCCCTGCAGCAGTGTGTTCCAGTAAGACAGGATCTTGAACTCAGTCCTGCCTCTACCTCCTGCTGGGTTAGAAGTTTGTACTGTGACATCTGGTCAAGTACCATTTTCTATTATGATGGAAATAGTTGATATTTGGTGTTTAGTACAGTGACCCCGAGCCAGCTGGCTGGCCAGCACTTGAAACAAGAACCTAAAGAACTAAGGTTTAGTTGGGCACTCGTGGCACACGCCTTTAATCCCAGCACTTGGGAGGCAGAGGCAGGTGGATCTCTGTGAGTTCGAAGCCAGCCTGGTCTACAGAGCCAGTTCCAAAGCTACAGAGAAACCCTGTCTCAAAAAGCCGGGAAAAAAAAAAAAAGATAGTGCAGCTCAACAGAGCGCTCGCTGTATGCTCTTCGTCAGGGGTTACTGAATCTCACACTGAAATTTATTAGTCTATAATTAAGATTTTAAACAACTTATTTGAATGTTAGGAAAAAACATTAATTTAAAAACATTAATAGATAAATCTAATTTAGTCAGCAGACATTTTAGCAGTGATTGGACCAAACCTATAATCCAAGTTTGAGTCTACTTGAATTTGAGATTAGTAATGATTTACTCGCTTTTGTTTTTAAATTCTTAAAAAATTATTAACTTATATAAATAACATTAGTTCACAATTTGTTTTCTGCCACAGAATAAAAATATATTCACTTGCCAGGCAGTGGTGGCACACACCTTTAATACCAGCATTTGGGAAGCCAGCCTGGTCTACAGAGTGAGTTCTAGAACAGCCAGGGTTGTTAGACAGAAAAACCCTGTCTCAAAAAACACAGTAGAACTATGTGATTGTCTCTCCTCCAAAGACACCTACTGTTAAAATTTAAAGAGTCTCCTGACATATATTACATTTAGTTCCCCACGTCATCTCACAACAGCTTTGCACCCCATCTAGGGATGAAAGTGTGGAAACTCACATTTCCGCATCCATCACAGGTTCTGCATCACCAAGTTTAAGTACACTGGAGATCTTTGCATCACAATAGTCAGAAAATCCTGGGAAATAAAAGTTTTATTTTTTTTACATTTTTTAAACATAAACATGAGTGAAAATGTCATGAAACAAGCCATTTTGTAATCCAATATATGTTAATATAAAGTACATTATTTTAAAAGGGGTTCTTTTTTTAATGAAAGTATAAGAAAAATCTTGGAATGCCGGAATGATCTCTAGCAGTTAAGAGGTTGAACTCTACAGAACTGAACTCGCACTGTGGGAAGTTCTTCTGGAGGACAACTTAAAACTTTACAGACTGCCCCTCACGCTCACTTTGGATATCTTGGGCTTTTTCTTTCTTCTTTTTTCTCTGTGTAGCCTGTCCTAGAACTTGCTCTGTAGACCAGACCTTGAACTCACAGAAATCCACCTGCCTCTGCCTCCCAAGTGCTGGGATTAAAGGTGTGCACCATCACTGCCTGTACTGTAGAGAATCTAAAACGTTTATGACTAAATTAACAAATGGATAACTTGGTCTTTGTCTTGTAGCTTTTCCAAATCGTTCAATTGTAGAGTTGCCAGCTGCCATAATTCATGTAGGGATTATATGTATAAAGTTCCCAGCTTAGAAAAAAGACAAATATTTGTCACATTCCTGTACTGCAGCACTCCCAATGCCCTGATCCTGCTAGTCTTCCTGAAGTCGGTATACAGGTGGCAAGCTATGCAGATATCTGTCCCCTGCAGCTTCCTGACTCAGGATCCTTATACGCTGGTCTCTCAACTTGTCAGAAGAACCTGGGGTGGGGTCAGGGATCTGAATGATGAAGACCCAAATTAGAGTTTGCTATCTTGAGCCAGCTTGAAGCAGCAGCTAGAGTTTTGAATTCTAAGAACATTCTGGACTTTTAATCATTTTTTTTTTTATTCCAGTAAGGGAAAAATTTTACTTCAAAAAGAAAAGGTGTTTCTCATACGTTTCTTAAAAATTTGTTTAGTTTTTGTTTCTTTTTGAGTTTTTTGTTTTGCTTTTTGAGACAGGGTTTTACTAAATATTTAGCTTAGGTAGGCCTCAAATTCCAGATCTACCTCCTTCAGCTCCCCAAGTACCAGGATGTCAGGAATGGGTCACACCTTGCAGAAGCTACTGAATTATAATTTGGAATGAGATTCAGGATACCTGAGTCTACTTGCTGTTTCTTTTCTGAGATCGGGTCAGGCTAGCCTTCCCCTCCTGGTCCCTGCTTTCTCAAGTGCTGGAATTACAGGAACACACCACCATGTCTGGTTCTACTTCTGACTTCCTCCCTGGATCAGTCGGATGGCTAAACAAACTCCCTCTGTGCTCCCTATCAAACAGAAAATACTTCTATAGTTACAGCTTTTGAAGAAGAGGTAAGCAACGAGAACTGAAAATGACAATAGCTTAGTGTGAGTGTTCAAACAGGCTTGTTTCTCAGGCCCTTCTGTAGCATACGTAGACATTTCAAGTGTGGTACTGTGTGGTAATAGGTGCTGTTCTACCCCATCCTGGCATGTTGGAGAGCAGGAGTCATCCTGACTATTCTGGTACTTTTAGCATAGACTTCACCACACTAATTAATTCAGGAAACTCTGTGTTCTGAAAGTGACCACGGTTGGTGAATTTGTACAATTTGGCATCCAACCTATCTGCCACTTCTTCTTGTTCCTTCCAGGGAAGGAAGGGGTCATCAGTGGAGCCAAACTGTACAATGTGAGGACAGTTGGCCTTGATCTTCTCCCACTGCCAGGGGCGGCTGAAGTACCCTACAGAAAAAAAAATAGCCTATCGATATGAATGAATCTTCACCCTAGACATCTAAAACTATCTAGTGGGGGCCCTCACAGAGGTGCAAAGGACCAGGGGCTTAAATTCAGGACAGTTCTTTGGTTTTCCTATCTGTAGGACTTGATACCATACTGACTTGCAAAGACAAAGAGGCTCGAATAAAACCAGGTCCTGGGATTCATTCTAGACTTCAGATTGGAAAAAATAGGTGGAAAATGTCTCACTTGCTATTATATAAATTGGCTGTTAAATTTATATTTTTAGGGCTATCTGAAGGAGAATAACTACTTTATAACTTGGGCAGTCCATCCCGTGCCTAGAGAAGGGCTTTCCTGGGTGTTCTCCCTAAAGACTTACCACTTGCACGCTCGTTTTCATCTCCCAAGTCTGATGTGTATGCAGACACCAGTATAAGAGCATATACCTGATGTGTCTCTGCATACCTGGCATGAGAAAGATAGTGTCAGTAATATATGGTTACTAAATCTGAAAAGCAGTAAGCCATCTGATGTAAGTTCACAGAAAGGAGGTATATGTTACCCAGACAGATGCAAGCAAGAAAAATAATCACTGCTGTGTGCACTCATCCACCTTTAATGTTCGTCAGCATTACTTATTCGGTCTACATTCTGATCAGATCCTAGACTCGGCCCCAGAGTATGGAATTCAGAGAAATGGGATTAAGGCCCAGGAACCTACAATGTAAGAAAAACTGGACAATGCTAGAAAAGTACTTCCGCTGCCCCTGTACCTGTGTTCTCATTGTGTCGCATTACAGCTGTCCCCACGCCCAGACAAATGATCACTGTCTCCTTAAGGGCAGGAAAAGCCTTATTGCTCTGTGAACAGCACCCTCTGTGACCACCAGACCACTATCTACAGATGCCCTCGCTCTGCCAAGATCAGGCCAAGGAAAGACTGAGACCTTTGAAGAGGAAATGTTTAGGGCTAGAGTTTCATTCTTGAGAATAAACTTCTCCCACCCCCTACCTGGTTACTCAAGAAATATCAAACCACAGAAGACATGACAGGAAAAGCCCCACCCAGACTGATTGAGGTTGCCAACCTTTACACTTACCTTAGTACATGTCCCCTACGAATAACCTTAGTTCCGTTATTATACCCAATCATATACTGCTGCCTATATTCTTTATAAAGCTTACATCAGTTACCTAAGCTAAGTTCATTTTCTCACAGTTAAACAGAGATTATATATTTTTGGCAAGATAGCCTTCTTATCACTTCAGGGACACATGATGTGTGTCCCACTATCAATGATACTGTTTGATTGCTTGTTAAGGTGTTCCCAGCACTTTCTATTGAGAAGGATCAATATCCCTTAGTAGTTACTAAGTCAGCTAGCATGTCCTTTATGATTGTACTAGCTCCCTGTTTCTTCACACCCTTACACTGATGGTTTTTCTTTTTTTATTTTTTTTCATTTTTCTTTGCCACTCCTAACTTTAGAAGCCAACTCTTAGAAGGCTGCTGACAATCCTGATAAATTCAGGGGACTTAGAAGAAATCCATCTTTACCAATGGCTGGTAAACAAAAGGAAAGAGTATGCTACAACCTTTGAAGTCAGTACTCTTCCTCTGCACACATGTTTGTAAATAGCCCTTCTGCTATGATTGAACCATAATTCACTGATTCTGTGCCAAAACACCTTACTATCCCCATCCCCTTGACCTGTATAGCTGAAAGGTCATAAAATCTGGCAAGATTCCATGACATGCAATTTGCATGAAATTTTGAATAACTGCTTGGAACAGACTTTGTTACCAGGGTAGGAGGAAATATGGAAGAAGCCCAACTTGAAACAGCTTGGCCAGCTAATCCCTTACCCCCTAGGCTAGTGGGGAAGGTAGGAGATTTTGACAGAAGCAAATGTGTGTACCGTGAATCCCAAGGATTGGGGGGAGGGTTGTAGGTAGGTAGGGGAAGCAACCTCTAGTCTCCAGAAGGTCCTTATTGAACATCTACTATGTCACACTCTCCTAGGCATTGCGATTCCTTGTCAGTGAACAAAGTCCCATCTTCATGGAGCTTCCATTAAATTAATAGGGACAGACGAGAAATCAATGTATATTAGATGATAAAGAGCTATAGGTAATAAGATACAAAGGGGATAAGAGTCAGCAGAGCGAGGCTGCTCTTTTATATGAAATTGTTAAAGATCTCACCCAAAATAGAACATTCAAGCAGAGACACGGTAAGAGAAAGTCAGGCAGCTTTTAAGAGAGTGTCCCTGCTAGAAGGCTGAGCAGGATAAGGAAGGCAGGTGTGTACTTGACATTTTCCAGGGACTACAATGACGTCAGCATGCCTGGTTGGGAGGAGAAAAGGGGCGAAGGGAGACAGAGCTGAGCAACAGGAAGCTTCGGAGCTACAGAAACTTTAAAAGGATCACTGCACCTGGTAAAAGCAATCTGTTTCTTCCAATCCCTTAACAAACAAGAAATTAGGGCAGATTAGGTTACCACTTTTGAGGTCGGCACCGTTCCTCTGCAATGGAAACTTAAGAAACGCAACTATTTCCCCAGCAAGCATGGCTACAGACCACACCTGAGGCAGCAGTCCCACAGGGTCATACCTCATGGCTGCGATCGCCCCGGAGCTGTGGCCTATGATGATGGTCTTCTCATCACAGCGCAGCTCTGTCTCCATGAAGGGCAACCAGATGCTCTCTCGGGCTGTAACTGTGTTCAGGGTAAAACAGTCTGGTACTCAGAGGGGCAGTCTGTAAGTGATGCTGTCCCACCTCTGATGAACAGCAGCTCACTTTTAAACTGAGGCAGAAGTGGGAGATGAGGCTGTTATCAGAGCCTAAGATCTCTGTCTTATGGTTTTAGTGAAGAGCTTTGCTTCCCCTACCACGTTCTTATTTTTTAAAAAAAGTGAAGCTTCCCCCCTCATCCATTTTTCTTTTGCGAGAAAGAGCCTCACTATGTAGCACAGGCTAGTATGTAATTTGCTGTGTAGCCCACATCAGAATTCCCTTGTCTCAGGCTCCCAACTGTCGGGTTTAAAGGCATATACCACATACTGGCCTCAACTCTGAAATTTTCATGTAAAAATTTAAACTTTGCAAACAAATACCTACAAGGTAGAGATACAGTTCAGAGGCAGAACACTTGCCCAGGACGTGTGAGAGCCCTAGGTTCAGTCTCAGTACTGAGAAACACACAAACAAACACACACAAAAAACCTCTTGACAATGTTCTAAAACCCATGTATAATATATATTTCTTTCCTGAACCAAGATGCACCCATAACAAAAGGAGGAAATCTTCTATTTTTAAATATTTAGGAACTCAACTGTAAGGCTTTATTTTATCTGTTTTACCTACATTTTGCCTGAAAATGTCTGCGGACATTCAACAGGGAAAATAAAGTTGCTAGCTTACAAAGTAAAAAATTAAATTTTACCATGCCCAGGTGCTTTTCTTGGTTCTTCCTGAAATCTTCCATATTTTTTGGCTTACGCCTGCTTCCTGGAGCTCTCTGCTTTATTTGTTCTTAGTACGTATTTATCTTTGTTCTTTCATCATGATATTCCAGCTTCCCTCCCCTCACCCCCAGATGGTGAACTCAAACTCTAACGAATGAGGCTTTTCAGAAGCAAGTTTAAAACTTACTTGGGTCAGGCATGTTTCTAGCCAGACACTGGAAACCAGGAACCTGAGATTTAAGGGGGAAGAAACAGCTATAATAAAGAGCTTAATTCCAACTAAAACTCTGAAAAAAAAAAAAAGTGACACCTGATGTGATCTTGCTCAATTCAGTAAGTACTTGCTGACTGTGAAATGAAATGGATTAAGCTGCGTTACAGATGAAGATATGCCCATGTTTTTGTAGAACCCCAGGGACCTGTGTCTGCATTTGCAAACCTGCTCATCCTTAGGGCATCCATCTACAGAGAAGGCCCAAGCGAATGTGCTAGAGACAGAATGACCTGAGCCAAACAAACTGCATTCCAGGAAGAAAATAAAAATATAGATACACCATAGAGAAAGTTGGGCATCCCACCCTACTGGCCATTTCCAGCTGGACCTTTGAGTTTGGTAGCTTTGCCCATAGCTTTCAGCCGCAACCCTGAAATTACATTCCAAATGGACTCTATTTTCTCCTGAAATTCTGTTCCAGAGGCCAAAGCAGGAAACTGTCTAACTGCCAGACGATGGAAGGGAGCTTTTTCTTTTCTTAAAAGTCAAGCAGCACAGGATGAGCTAGGGTGCAATGCTGTTTCTATAAAGCTCACAGAGAAGCCAAACTAAACAATATCATACAAGATTATACACATGGGTTCTTGAATTCGATTCCCAGACCCATGTAAAGATAGAAAGAGAACTGGTTACACAAAATTGTCTTCTCACCTCCACAAGCACCTCCCACATACAATAAAGAGAAGCAAAATGTACTACAGACTCTCATGGGAATGGGACAGGAGGCAGACAGATCAGTTAAAGATACTGGCAATGTTCTAGAGTTTAATTTGGGCGAAGAGTGTATGTAGCTAAATGACACACAAAGACCTTGGGCTTGAATAGTACCGAATTTTTTTTTTTTGATCAGTTTGATAGCGTATTACATGTTATATACATCCTTTGTATACATCAAAGGTTATGTGGTTTTTTTAAAAAAAATCTAAAATAATGAATATAAACAAATTATCTGGGAAGGCTCGAATCTGAACTGGCAGCAGATTAGGGTAGGGAGGGGGCATTCTCTGTATAACAGGGTTCCTCTCAGTCTCAAGAACTGAGACCTCAGCTGTTTGGGTTGCTTCGCCAGGCAAGATCCTCGCCACTAGTTTAGATCTAAGGCCTTGATCTAAGGCTTGATCACAGTGTTTGATCGACTACTCACACACTGTGGTTATCGGGAGGAAGGGGGGCACAGGCTCGAGCCTCGCCTTATCGTCCTCCCTCCCTCCGCTCCGCGCCAAGCTAACCGCAGGGCAGCTTGAAATTCCTTACCTGCTCAAGTCCCTTTCTCACCCAGCCGTACCAGCCCTGGGTGGCCACATCCCCGCCTCCGTTCCCGGGAACAATCACTGCCTTACTAGGGGACGCCATGAACGCTGTAGCCGGAGACCCCTGCCCAGCTCGGACCTGCAGTGCTCAAATCGAGACTGCATCCGGCCGGGAGCCCTCACTGAGGCCTTCTGGGAATTGTAGTCCTTGGATGCCCTCTGGTACGCTTCCTTCTCTGTCTAGCGTACAGGCTGCCAAACTTAAACCCTGTGAATTGCCAGCAAATATCAATCACCTTTGATTTCCTTTTTTCCAGCGTCCTCATACTCCACGTCCCTTATGAAGTACTGGCAGCAATATTCTCATAATGTGTTATCTTTTTATTATGGAATTTTCGTTTGTTCAAGACAGTCTCATTATGTAGTCCACCCCAACACTGGCCTGGGGCTCTCTACATAGACCAGACTGGCCTAGAACTCACAAAGACCTTCCTGCCTCTGCCTCTTAAGTGCTGGCATTAAGGGAATATGTCACCATATTCAGCAAGAATTATTATTTATGTGTATGCGCACCACATGCACGGGTGTGCCGCTAAGGAGTTTGGAGGAGGGTGTTGGATCCTCTGAAGATGGAAGTAGCCAAATGTGAGTACTGGGAATCGAACTCCAGTATTCTGGAAGAGCAGCAGCTACATTTAATGGCTGAACCCCATTTTTGTTTTTTACAATTATTGTGTGTATGCCACACTGCCAGAGATGGCAAAGCATAACCCTCCCCCACACGCGGGGATCCTGAGATGCAGGAAGCAATTCCCTCCAGGAAACCCAGTGGTAGCTAAATGAGTGCGTTACTTAAGGGCCAAGGAGAAAACACGTACGAGCCCCAAGGACCACTTCCATTGTGTCTGCATTCGCAATGTTACAGAGACTTCTGGTTATAGCAATTCTACTAGTGTACTTGTTCTTCATGTTCTTTTTTTCTTCCACACCAGTGGCTTATGAAAAAAAAAATGGATGTGCTGTACAATAATATGAGTCTTCCTGATCTGATAGAGTGGGCAGGCTCTGAAGCTGTAAAGCAGATCATGGGGAAAAACTTGACTGATGAAAGAATTGGGGAAATTTGGGGAAAATGCAGAAATTGTTCTTTGCCTAATTATGAAACTTGGCAAAAATTATACTAAAATGGAAAAGAACTTGAAGAACCTTTGGGGCTGACTGCCTGTGGCCTTATAAATCAAAATGACAAGTGTTGGAATTGTGAGGACCAACAACGGGAAGGGTACGACAATGCAGTAAAACCCTCTCAACTATGCCTCTGAAAACTGCAAGTAGTTAGCCTCTGAGGTGAAAGCCTCAGAAGCTGCTTTATGACTAACTCAGCTAAGAATTAAGAATATAGTGACTGGCATGGGGGCTTGGGACCTGGGAAAAAATCATAAAGAATGATGATGTTCTGACTTCAAAGAATCTTTATACTTCTTGTGAACTGCTTTGCCCAGGTAATGATTAACCCGTGGCAAGAAAAAAAATCATTTTTCTTGTGTAAAATTTACAATAAAAGACTGAGGGGGCTGGAGAGATGGCTCAGAGGTTAAGCACGCTGACTGTTCTCCCAGAGGTCCTGAGTTCAATTCCCAGCAACATGGTGACCAACAACCATCTACAATGAGATCTGGTGCCCTCTTCTGGCATGCAGTCATACATGGAGGCAGCACACTGCATTGTATACATAATAAATAAAATCTTTAAAAAAAAAAAAGACTGAGGTTCGAAGCTCGGGGCAGAGAGAGGAGAAAAACCCGCCTACAGCTGATAGCCTGTCAGCTTGCATCAGAAACCTGTGTTCATGTACTCATTTCGCCTTCCAGACGTCCCAAATTCGAGACCCACTTCTCTGCTGAGGCTGGTCCCAGCACCACACCTGATGTGTGCATGTTTCAGCATAGATGGGTGTGTGTGTGTGTGGAGGATAGAGGACAACCTGAAGGAATCCTTTCTCTCATTCTATCAGGTGGGTCCTGGAGATTGAACTCAGGTCGTCCAACCCAACTGCCGCTGGCTTTCTTCACTCGTACACAGTCTAGGGCCCTGCCCATGAACTGGAACTGCCCACATTCAGGGTGGGTCTTTCTACCTTGGTTAACTAAATGTTTAAATGAAGACAGTCTCCTACAGACCTGCCTGCAGGGAACCTGGTCTATGTGATTCCTCATTAAAACCCTTCTTAGGCGATTCTAGGTTGTGGCTAGTTGACAATTAAAACTAGCGGGCACAGAGAGTTATTAATGAAACCAGAATAGAAAGGGAGGAAGGAAGAAATGGAGGAAGAAAAGGACACTTTGCAAAATGGGTGAGGCAGGCAAACCAGGAAAAGAACACAGAACCAGTTGTCTTGAGTCTATTCCTTGAGGTTCTTATTGAGGTGGGCATGAAAAATGCATTCTTCCAAGAATAATGTGAGCCTTGGGTATGGAAATAATACTCAGATCTTCCCATGCCACCTCAGGAACAGTCACATTCTATTGTGTTCTTTTAAACTGTGTGTATGTGGTGTGTGTGTCGGGGGTGGGGGGTGTAAGCCAGAGGTCAATGTTGGGTAGCTTCTATTATTTTCCACTTTATATTTGATTTTTGAGACAAGTTCAATCTGTGAATTCGGACATCACGAATTTAGCAAGACTAGCTGGCCAGCAAGTTCCAGGGATCTCTCTGCCTTCTGCTCCCGAGATGTTGGACATGGGCTGCGTCTTCAGCACCCTAGGCTATCCACTGCTGCTGAAGCTGCACTTTCACAGATTCACACCAGCCTTACAGAGCTTCTTAGCAGAGAATACAGCCCTGGCAGACACTGTCAGCCTTAGCAGCTCCCTAGACCTTGGAGCAAGTCTCCACGCCTTCTCATTTCAATAATTCTTTTTAAATGGCGTCTCAATAGGTGCTCCTATAAAGTCAGTTTTCAGCAGCTCGGGAACTGAATGGGAGTCGTGCATAATCACACAATTGACCTTTTAATCTGAGAAAGTAAAACTTCACTCTCTGGGGCCAGTAAATGAGGGGAACAGGCACACACACCTTCAACTTTCAGGCCCCTCTCTTTTATCTTTTCTTTCCTCCTTCCTGACATCCTCTTACATCTTTCCTGATGTTCTCCTTCTAACCCTTTCCTTTTGTCTTCCTCTGACTCTGTTTTTTTCCCTTACAGCTTATATACCCCAGCAAAATCTTTTAAGTAATATAAAAATTACAATATGGTTACATTCTATTTTTAAGTGAATGATTATAATAAATACAAGTAAAAATAGCACATTTCCCATATCCCTTACATGATTAAACATTTTATGTATTATATGTAAAAGAAATTATTCCCAAGGACCCACATACATTCCTGTCTAAACAACTTGTTTTAGATTAACAAAGTGTAAGCAAGCAAGGTATTTTTCTCAGCCAATTATTTTACTTCCAAGCTGAATTTTGCAGTTACAAAGAAAGGATCGATCATTTTATTATTTATCTCAAAAGGTAATAATAAAAAACTTTTTAAAAAAATCATAAATCTATACCTTTAAATATAAAAAACAATCAGGAACTTTCTCTTTAATCCTCAGTGTGCGTACCCATTCATTAACAGTTTTTTATTAAATCATATCAGAAAGCTGAGGGCAGAAATGGGTATAAAGAACTAATCATTGCCTTTGATTACCAACCTATCCTAGCAAGAAAGGCGTGTCAGTTAGTAATGACTGGACTGCAGGGGCCGAATTATACAGGCCCATATTCCTACACTGTCTGGCGGTCAGAAAACTCTGAGTGACCTACAAGACACAGTTTGTACCTGCCACACAGAAGGTGGCGGCCTAGTTTTTAAATAGTAAAACAACCTGACGCCATCCTAAACAAGTGGTCAGGAGATGCTAATGTTGTTTTGCTCCTTCTGTTGTAAATTAGGAGGTAGTCTAGGGAAGAGGTATTTTTCAGAGGCATAGATAGGCAAGACGTGACCTAAGACATTAGCTAGGAAAAAGAATGCTAATGAATTTCCCCCTCAGTTTACATTTTGATATAAAGGTTGTTTGGAAATTAAACGTGGGTAGATTTTCAGAATGTGAGTTCAGGATTTCATGAAGAATCCCCGAAACTCCCTCCCGATGCTGTCGCGCAAACAGTGCTTCATTTATTCCCACACCTCCACTCTGGTACGAGAAATATTTTAAGTCAGGGCTGGTCCCTAACACTGGACTACATTTGTTTTGTTCCTTGACCTCAACAAGTCCCTTGCTCAACTATCAAAAGCATGCCCTTTTAAACTTTAAATTGTTCCTCAGCATTTTTTTTACATCAAAGCCATTAACAAAAACATCTTAACCTAACTTTACTAACAATCTACTTGTCTAAATTATTTTTAAGGGTGGTGATTGCATTAATCTGTTCCAGCAGTGTCTTAGTTAGGGTTCCTATTGCTGTAAAGAGACACCGTGATCACGGCAACTCTTATAAAGGAAGACATTTAATTGGGGAGGCAGCTTACAGTTCAGAGGTTCAGTTCATCACCATCATGGTGGGGAGATAGTGGTACAGGCAGACATGGTGCTGGAAATGCCGCTGAGCATCCTACATCTTGCAAGCAACAGGAAGTTGACTTAAACACTGGCCATTATCTTGAGCATACATGAGACCTCAAAGCCGACCTCCACAGTATCACACTTACCTACTCCAACAAGACCACACCTACTCCAACAAGGCCACACCTCCTAATAGTGCCTTTCCCTATGAGATTATGGGGGCCATTTACATTCAAACTACCACAAGCAGCAATGCTTGTAAAAGTTGATCACTATTATTCTAAGTACCAGTAACACTGCCCTATGAGGGGCTGGGAACCCCTTTAGAGTTTTCATACAACTCATAGATTATGAGGGATGTGGTGGCTGTGAGGACAGCATGAGGTCCTCAGGACACGCAGTCCTCAGGACTCTGCCTCTCCAAGGCCCATTTGACATGATTTTGCTGGCTGCTCAGCTGTGTCCTGTGAGTTCCAACGCTGCTTGTTGTTCCTGTTACATGCCCCCTGCTGCCAGTCTGAGATGTAGGCAGACCCTGGTAGAACACAGATGCTATGTCTTCTGCATGCCTCGGAGGCTGAAACTGGGAAAACATTTGGCTTGGTGGCCATTTTCCAGG